TCTAGATCTGCAGGTGTGAAGGTGTGAAGATCTAGATCAGCAGATGTAAAGGTGTGAAGATGTAGATCAGCAGATGTGAGGGTGTGAAGATCTAGATCAGCAGATGTGAAGGTGTGAAGATGTAGTATAACGGCTGCTTTTTTACGAAGAACCCTTCGCAGGCGCTCTCGGGAAAAATGGGTAAAACATCAACCAATCGGGCAAACGGGTATCCCAAATCCGCCTTTGAAATTTGTGTTGAATCGGACTACATAAATGATCACATGGTCCAACAAACCCGTAGGATCCTTCCAAATGTCTACTCCTATCCATGCTGGCTTAAGTCATTTATGGCTAAATCACTTTAGATATGCATCATCATCATTTCAAATCCTTGAAGTGCAAAACCAAATTCGGGAATCCCCGGAATCCCCCAAAAACACCGGACTTTAGTTGATGGTTAGTTAATCCGAGTTAATCCCTCAAAGCAAGATAGAATGTGAACCTTGCCCATCTCAAAATTTTGGAAAGTCTTCCAATCTCCAACTCATGGCAGGGTTTGTCGCTGTTATTTGTAGAGAAGGTATATCCTAATACATCCTACCCTCTGGTAATTTAACATAGCCATGGAAAATCACCATTTTTCATGGGAAAATCCACTATTTCTATGGTCATTTTCAATAGCTATGTCAGTCATTACCAGAGGGTATATCCTAATACATCCGAAAAAACCATATGTACTTTCAAATAGTTCTAGAACATCACCATTCCATTCCATCAAGCCATCGAACTGCATGGCATGTGTTCTACCTGAAAAAAATGGTCCCGCCTTCGTGGAGTTTCTCCACCTGCGACGCCACGTGCGCCGCTCTTGGTGCGTGAGCCGCTTGACCTGTCGATAAAGGCCTGGCACACGCTGTACACGTCATGAATCCCATACATTGCCCCAGTAAGTCCCAGGTAATTTAACATAGCTATTGAAAATGACCATTTATAGTGGATTTTCATGGATTTTCCCATTAAAAATGGTGATTTTCCATAGCTATGTTAGTTTACCAGATGGTATATGAAATATACCTACAACATGATATTCTACCCCAAAAACTTTGATGGTTAACTCCCCCTTATCATCCCGTGTGTTTATGAATCATCAGCATGTTCCACGTGTTTGATGGTTGCTTGGTGAACCTTAGATACCTGCCAAACCGTCTGATCTTTAGCTGGCAACGATATTTTTAGTTTGTTTTGTAATGTGTTTTACATAATTTTACATCATTTGACCATTGATAGCAACAGATTGAAGTACTAAAGTATCTAACCAGTCGGTTGACCCAACAATCTCCATCGCCCATTCTCTACACCTGGGCTGCCTTTCAACCGCACTGTCTGGAGCCGGTGGTGGGACCTCAAGGGTTTTTGGACCAGGGCGGACTGAAACCTTTGGCGCTTCAAAATAACATGTGCATTGCTAAAAGCCCTCTTATAAATGGAGGTTTGAATGGAATAATATGGAAAAATCGGCTATAGATGGGGAAATTGGGGAAATTGTCCATTGCTGGGCATGGAACTACAGTAATCCACCTGCTTTTCGGATTTCGCAACCATCAGTAGCTGGTACCTTCTCACAATTCCTGGCAACTCAAAGTCTTGAAGTTGCAGGAATTAGAGGAAAATCATCTGACCAAACGGATGATAATTTCATCTAGTTTCCCCATGATGAGAAAATCTAAGAATTCTGCGGTTGATCACCACACCTTGACAACAAAAGACCCATCAAGGAACTAGGAATGTGACATTGGTTCTGCGAGCTGAGGAAACGTTCCAGCCATGCACTGCCACAAAAGCCCCATTTCATTCTATTTTATACATGTCCTACTTGGTGATACATCCCATGATTTTAGCTAATTTATCTCAATGATTTCATAGTTAAGTCATATTTTTTTGTATACCATAGTATACCCATTAGATATCCAATTAATTATGGCATTCAATAGTATCATGTTTTTTCGAATATTGGGTCCAGGTACCCAAACGGCGAACATCGTTCATCTCCCTAAAAAAAGATGGCAAACATGTAGCTATTGATCCATAGCCCTAGTGATGTTAGTTGGTTAACAAATTCGCCCCAGTAACTAGTTCGTTATAAGTACCATAAACCGTAGTTATTGGGGTTAGTTCACCAACTTAGCTATCTAGGGGGCCCCACTTTATAGCCCTATGATTGTAGAATTCGCTGAATATGATTTAATTTTCCTATAGGCTATAATGTCCTATTGATATGTTTTTTCAGAATAGTTCCCATTATGCATATCCTATACTGATAATGTTATTGTGGCTAAAACAATCATATATAAATCATTCCCCAAATCACCATAAATACATGTGCTATGGTTATCATTCCCAGTCATGGGTGGTTTATGACATTGTTTTAACCACATTAATCCCTATATTTGATGGGGAAAACCCATGGTTTCCTGTAGATTTTCCCTCCAACAAATCCAATGAATATCCTCTTGATCATATGCCATTGGTCATATCCCATTGGGTATATGATCATATCCTATTGATCATATACTATCTCATTATCATATCAATTGATCATATCCCATTCTATTCTGGAAGATCTTGAATCATACCAATCACATTATTATTGTATATTCTAGGATAATATTTCGACTAGTTCCCATTGGCATATCCTATTGATCATATTATTCCCACAACCCATAGACCTTATGGGAAATAGTCTCCAATATTGGTATATCCTTTATTACCGTATTATTCCCACAACTTCGGAATATCCTATTGATCATATCATTGGGATGTGAATAAAAACGATAACCCTCAACCAATAATATGTCATGGGTTATATTAACCATTATATACCCACTATGAATTCTTGGGAATCATCCCAATAATACTTCAATATTGGTTCAACCATCCCAATTAACCATTAACCAATCCAGTGGTCATATCGTTGGTAGATTGGATCACCATCCCAACTCTTAGGAAAAATAAAATTCATGTTTGAAACCACCAACCAGATATACAAAAATGGTTATACCCAACAAAAATCTCCAATATTCCAATATTGGTAAATATACCAATGGAAAAATCGAGCCATTTAGCCTTTGGAACTGAGAGGTCTTTTTAATATTGGCTATTCTTGGCCATTGGTATTTTCCAAGAATCCCATTAAAAAATAATGGCTATTGTTGGCTATTCTCAATATATTATTTTCCAAAAATCGAGCCATTGTTGGCTATTCTTGGCCATTGGTATACCCAATATTCTTTATAAGTTGGTTTATAGTCCCATTAACTAGTTCGATATATCTACCACTCCTAGTTTTTTTTGAGTTATGAACCAACTTAGCTATCGACCGGGGGCGCCACATTGTATTGGTAAAACCACCATATTTGTTGGTTTATATCATCACCAATAAATCCTCAGATCCACCCCAATGTTGATGGTTTTATGGGTCTTCCACCTTAGATCCCAATGGCTCGACACCGTGACACCTCGACATTTCCGAAGTTCCGCAGGTGCATGGCCACCGCGGCCCAGCCCTTGGCCAGGAGGGATTGGCGGAGCGCCTTCAAGGGGTTCCCCGTGAGGGTCACCACCTGGCGGACCGGGGGAATGGGAACGTTTGGAATGAGTTTATACTGATTTCATCAGACGTTTCGCTGTCCGAAACACCAAAAAATGTTCCCTTTGAATTGTCGACATGGAAATGTGGAAATCTTTTTGAACATCTACAGACATAAAGCACCGAAATGCCAAACAAACAGCTCCAAAAGTTACCATGGGGTAAACTAACATAGATGTGGAAAACCATTGGTTTCCCTTTCGGCAAATGATCTAGAAATGGTGGGTTTTCCACATTCTTTTGTTAGTTTATTAGTTTACAGATTTTAAAGGATATGTTTCGAATATGTTCTGATCATATCCCATGAAACCTCCATTTATTCCATGAATATTTCATCAAATCCCTGTAGAATCCCTATGAAATCATTCTAAAAGCCCATACTGCTAAATCCACTGGTAATTTAACGTAGCTATTGAAACTATTTATAGTGGATTTTCCCATTAATAGCTTGGTGATTTTCCAGTTCGTTATGTAAACGTTTACCAGAGGCTAAATCCACTGGTTTTTCTCGTCATATTGCCACGGCCATTTCTGAGGTGCCTCTGGTAGAGGCCAAAAAGGGATACTCCAGGCTGGGTGGCTCGACGTGTTCAGAATGGATTGGTTCAAGGGAAAATCTACAGGAAATTTATGGAAATTCTGTGGTTTTTACATGTTTTTACCATTCAGCATTGATAACATGGGGGTGTCCTGTACATGTTCCCTGAAAAACCAATCCAATGAATAAGGCCATGCGATTTTCCCGTGCTATCACTATAAGGAGCAGCCATGAATTTCGTTGCGGCCATTCTCACTTAGGATATCCCAGTGGATGAGAAGATAATCTATCATGTTGGCATTAGCCATGCATAACCCATCCCATAACTGGGTTTAACCATTAGCCATTTACGAACTGGGATGCACCCCAGTTCGTGCGTCCCAAGAGATCCATGCCGAAAAAAAACCCATGGCTAGTTGACGACCATGGCCGCACCTGCAAACTTTCCCAATGGCCAAATTCTGAGGGCAAGCTCGACCTGGGACAACGGAGCGATTTTGACATTGGGAATTGATCAGCCATGGAAACATGACAATAAGCAAGGCAATAAGCAACAGGACAAGAATTGACGGGTTTGGATCGTCTGCATCTGAAAAGCAACAGCTATGTAATGGGAGCGGTATAGCACAATATATAATAACAATGATCAGGACAATGTGTTCAAAATATTGAACAGAAAACAATGTGGCACATTGTAGTGCCTTTTAAAACGGATTGAAACCAGTATCGCAAGTTTGATAGGGGCCAAATTGAAACCATCCATGCGGCTAGTCAAGGTAGTCCGCAAAAGAAGTCTGATTGGCCCCACTAAGCCTTGGATATTGGTGACATGCACGATGATCTGATCCAAAACCTATACTTGGCCCAATTGAAACGTTTATATAAACTTGACCAAACAAAATGCAGTGTGGATTGATTAGGATCAAATCATCTACAATCATCTCACATCCCCAAATCGAGTTCTGTTTTTCTGTACCCTATGGTAAACTTACATAACGATGGAAAATCACCAAGCTATAAATGGGTAAATCAACGAACTTTCTATGGTCATTTTCAATTTGATCTCATTCAATCACTATAAAATCGCATTAAATCACTATAGATCCCATTCAATCACTATAGATCCCATCAAAACACTATAGATCCCATTCAAATACTATTAAAGCCACCCAAAAAGCGGCCGTGACACCCCGGCACCTCAGGTCGTTGTTCGCCAGCAGCAGGGTCTTCAAGCTGGGCAGCGCTCGCAGCAGCTCTGCAGGGAGGGAACTGAGGCGATTTTCCTGCGAAAAAAAATGGGCGTCTCAAAGACTAAATTATAGGAATTTATAGTGATTTAATGGGATTTTTATAGTGATTTAATGGGATTTTATAGGGATTGTTTATAGGGATGTGGCTATTTGAATAACAAATGATATGGCTAATCCATTAGTATAAATGATGTGGCTATATTCCATAAGTTACATTAAGTTACTATCCATTCATGTTTTTGTTTTCACGAAATAAAATATGGGATTTTGTTTGTGACTTGATCATACATGTGACTATAATGATTTGAATCTGATGATAAGAACTTTGTAAATCCGATTAAATCAATCATATGATAAAAAGGTGGTTTTCAAAATGTCCTAAAAAGATGTTGTTTGTTTGCTCTATCCTGGATAGAAAATGAAACATAGGACAATTGTTGGGTCCAAAACGTGTTTTTGTGAATCATAAGATATACGCGAAATAAAACATGTTTGTAATATATATATATATACGCATGCAGCATATACATGTGCACATAGAGTTTAATCGAATATGTATATATATATGTGCAATATATATATATGTTGATGTTATACATGCATGTTAATATAAATATACCATTATAAAATATAATATGAAAATCCATGTATCTGGCTGAATTACAATACTCCGTTCATCATCTATTAATTATTCTCCATTAGAATTATATGAATTCTCCATGAATCATTTTCCGTTATAATCCCATTACAATCATATCAGACCCATTATAAATCACGATAAAATCCAATTAAATCACTATAAAATACAGCTAAGTCACTATAAAATACGGTTAAATCACTATAAAATCCCGCTAAATCCCTGTAAAATCCCCATAAAATCCAATCAAATCCCTGTAAAACACCATTGAATTTTCTATAAACTCCCATTAAATCACTCTAAAATCCTATGAAAAATCGCTATTCATATCTCCTCATCCCCACCTCCAAATCCAATGTCTGCAGGCGGTGACTCTTTCGCAGAGCCGTCAAAATGTCGATGGAACTCAGGCTGCACTGACGCAGGCGAAGCTCCTGTGATCTGCAGAGGGGTGAATTTCACCCAGGTCCGGGGCAGTGCCATAATTTCTGGTGAATTCAATTCCCAGTGTTTTCTATCCCATAACTGGTGAGCCAATAGCCATAACCATACCCTCTGGTAATTTAACGTAGCTATTGAAAATGGCCATAGAAATAGTGGATTTTCCCATTAAAAATGGTGATGTTCCAGACGTTTACCAAAGGGTAACTGGTGAATTTCTACTGAAACCTATGGGATTTCTGTTGCCTCTGGCGGCCAGTTGGGATCGCTACAACGGCACTTGGTGAACTCTAAGCCACACTAATCTTGAGTGGAACTGCACCCTCCAGGGAATCCCTGGATTTTTTCCCATGGATTTTAAAGAACATATGGATTTTAGAATATGGCAAATATTAAAATAGACCATATATGGAATTATTTGTATATTTTAACGTATGGAATTGCCATTAATACTAAAAATACTAATATGAAGTACCCTCTGGTAAATTAAGAGTTAGACACTGATTTTTTTTAGTCATTGTTTAGTTTTTCAACTCATCTTCCAACCCCGATGACTGCCAGGGTCCAACTGTTAATTTACTAAAGGGTATCTAATTTTTGAATCCCACATTTACCAAGCGGATTGTATCCACATTTAGATCATCCAGATGGAAACACATATTGGATTGATGAGCTACTCATTATCCATCGTGGATATGGAAAAATCCCTTTCTGAATCCCAAAAATCATTTCCATATCAGCCATACCCATACAAGGATTCATAGGGATTCATAGGGATTTCATAGGGTATATCCTTGCAATCATATCATGTTCATATGGAATTGCAAGGATATACCCTCCGGTAATAAAAAAGAGTTTGCGAACTGGAAAATGGCCCAGTCGAAAGTTCGTTGATTTACCCAGCTAAATAGCATGGTGATTTTCCATAGCTTTTTGTAGGTTTACCAGAGGGTATAAGATTTACCTACCCATGATGCTGGGTAAATTATAATATTTCACTAACCTGAATCTTGCGGCCATCTAGGGTCATTTCCCTTACTAACCACTATTCCCAGTGAGGTCGCAGTGAGGTCATTATAATTTACCTACCCATGATAGGATTACTCTGGTTATTTAACATAGCCATGGAAGCCATGGCCCTAATCGAAATAGATGGTTTACCGGTCTACCGAACTTAAAAATGGTGGATCTTTCCATGCAAAACTGTGAATGTCATAACCATCTCTTGACCATGGCGCCATGGGATGAGATTTCGCCAGATTTATGGATCCAGAAGGATGCAGTTTTTTTTCCCAGGATCATTCCATATCCCATGAATATCCAGTTGTATCATCTTATATCATATCCCCATTAATGTAGATAATAATATATATATATATACATATGTATATAATATGTATATATCCCATGACATAGTCTCCAATGAATATCCCATGTTTTTCCATATATTTTTTTTGGTCAGATGACCAGTCCTGCAATTTGGGGCATGCATCCAGCAGGTCGCAGAGCCCGGAGATCTCGGTGAGTCCATTACTCGAGAGGTCCAGGAAGGTCAAGCTGGGTGCGGACACTCCTGGAGATTCAAAAGCTGATCGTTCTACAAAGGGATTTTTCATGGGATTTTATAGTGATTTAATGGGATTTTATTGGGATTTAATGGGATTTTATAATGATTTAATGGGATTTTATAGTGATTTAATGGGATTTGATAGCGATTCAATGGGATATTAATGGGATTTACCCTCTGGTAATGACTAACAGTTTGCTATTCGAGCCATGGCACATGGCTAGTTCGTTGATTTAGCTATTATTTTGATGGTCTTTTTCCAGTTCGCTATGTTAGTTTACCAATTTTACCAGAGGGTAGGGGTTCCACAAATGGGGGGATCCCCAATAGCTGGATGGTTGGTGCATTTACTCACATCATTCCTTGACTCAGCCATTTAGGGTTTGTTTGGGGGGGAGGGGTTCATTCTACTTACATCATTACTTGACTCAGCCATTTAGGGGTTCATTCTACTTACTTGACTCAGCCATTTAGGGTTTGTTTGGGGGGAGGGGTCATTCTACTTACATCATTACTTGACTCAGCCATTTAGGGTTTGGTTGGGGGGGGGTCATTCTACTTACATCATTACTTGGCTCAGCCATTTAGGGTTTGTTTGGGGGGGAGGGGTCATTCTACTTACATCATTCCTTGACTCCGCCATTTAGGGTTTGTTTGGGGGGAGGGATCATTCTACTTACATCATTACTTGACTCAGCCATTTAGGGTTTGGTTGGGGGGGATCATTCTACTTACATCATTACTTGGCTCAGCCATTTAGGGTTTGGTTGGGGGGAGGGGTCATTCGACTTACATCATTACTTGACTCAGCCATTTAGGGTTTGTTTGGGGGGGAGGGGTCATTCTACTTACATCATTCCTTGACTCAGCCATTTATGGAGGGGAGGGGTCATTCTACTTACATCATTACTTGACTCAGCCAGGTTTTGGTTGGGGGGGGATCATTCTACTTACATCATTACTTGACTCAGCCATTTAGGGTTTGTTTGGGGGGGAGGGGTCATTCTACTTACATCATTACTTGACTCAGCCATTTAGGGTTTGTTTCGGGGGGAGAGGTCATTCTAATTACTTACATCATTACTTGGCTCAGCCATTTAGGGTTTGTTTGGGGGGGAGGGGTCATTCTACTTACATCATTACTTGACTCAGCCATTACTTGGCTCCATCATTACACCATGAGCCGATCTTCTCTTGCACCTGCACACCAACATGATCTCACGCTATCACATCTTCTCCTGACGCTATCATCACCATGAGCATGAAGAAGATGAAGATGAATAATACTCGGAGGAAGAAAATGCTTATAACAAGGATGATCATGAAGATGAAGATGATGATGATGATGATGATGATGAGGATGATGATGATGATGATGATGATGCTCACTTGGTGGTCAACATGATGGTCAACCATGAGTGGGCAACATGATGATGGGGTACCCGCCCTCCGACCCCTCATGATGGGTAACATGATGATGATAATGATTGAATATGTCTATTCTGGACGACGACGGTGATGGTGATGATGGTGATGATGATGATCGTGATGATGACGATGATGATGATGAAGATGATGATGATGATGATGATGATGGTGATGATGATGATGATGATGATGATGATGCCTCTGGGTCTCTGGCACCCCTGCAGACTGCCTTGAAAGCGGTCAATGCCTCAGGGCCTTGGATCGAGCTGTCGCGAAGGACCTTGGTTTGGCACTGGGGGCCATGCTGTGAAATTGAGACAGCTGTTGGAAAGACTGGGGTCATTTAATGTGGATAATTGGCTAGGTTTGGGCCTGTCTTCCATGTGGGTTGTTATTTGCATTGCATGTTGAAACACGGGGGAGAAAGGATACCTTCAAACACCGCATGCACACATAGTTTTCAAAACAATCCTACAAAAGCCGAAATCTAGAACCCAACATATCTGTCGCAACCAACAATTTCTGGGTACCCTTGCATACGTTGAAGGGCAAAGTGCCCTGTAAGTCCTTGGAGGAATCGAGGCACAACAGCTGAGTTTGTCTGAAAATTTCGGGAAAATTCGGGAAAACAAGTTCAATGATTAAATGGATTTAGCCGTACTCAAACGTGGCAATGGAAGATCCAATCTAAATGATGTAAATTGAGGTTTTAATGGATAATTCATGGTAATTCATGTATAACATGAATCATGACAGGTTGTCATGAACTATCGGGATACATGTATATCTTGTGCACCACATTTGTTGATTTCTTTCAAACAAGAAAACACCCAGCAGTGCGCCAAAAAACCGTCCAAACCTGGCCACGATGAAATCATCGCCTGCCAGGTTTTGTGAGTCCGTCTTCTTCTGGCCAAGGAAAAACGACTCAAAAGATACGGAAATAGGGATTTCTCTTCCAACGGAGACAGGATCAACAAAACATGGATGGAAGAGAAATCCATGTGGATGCACTTCATCAAGTGATGATCGGTGTCTATTGGCTCATAGGCTAATGATTGGATTTATGATTTATGGATGATATATATCTATTCAGAAGTAGTTGTGTGCGTTGGCTTATGTTACCCCACCTCACTATAGATCAATCTCCACCAATCCAAAAGTCACTCTATCTATCCAATTTATCATAGTTGGGGGTCCCTTCCTGCATCCTCCAAATATTGAATCCAGTAGCCCCAATATGGGGCCCCAATTCATGTACATTTCATTTTCACTCCTGTTGCTGAAAACACACTTGCCGTTCTAAAGTACTTTCAACTACAAAGAAGGGCCAACCGCTGTTTTGAATCTGGTTGGTGGTTTCAACATGTTTCAACACGTTTCAGCTAGTAGCTATGTCAACTATGTGCATCCCAAAGAAAATTTGCAGCAGCTGGCGATCCCCAAAGCTGACTAGAAACTGGCTGTGGTGTTCATCGTTTTTGGGCGACCCTAGAACTCGGCCTCTGGCCTATGAATTGGGATGCCCACTTGCAGTCACTGTCTTTCCCACCTGCTTTTTTTGGTGCGGCCGCTTGCCCTGCTGCTGCTTGTCGTCTGCCGGGTCTGCTGCTCCGCCAAGGAGTCAGCAATGGCCTGGCGATTGAACACACATACAAACAGATTTCCACATTTCCACAAAAGCTGGAACACACCACCAGCACCTCCAAGCCATCTTTGGATTCTGGTTCCAAATCGTGCGCCTGCAGCGCAGCTCGCGCTGACTGACGCATCCGTTCCTGCAATTCTCCAAGCCATACTTCATAGGTTGATCTGGCATCATTTTGGGGTTTCCCAGCAACGAACTGGCGGTTCCTTCATCACAAAGCCCGAATCCCATGCATGGGGTGAGCGTTGCAAATCTCGAACATGTTTTAAGTCAGTTTCATGGGGAAATATCAGTTCCACAAAGGGACGAAAATGGCACCGTGGGCCTCTTTTTCTTCACGGATGCGGACCGGGTCCTCAGATCAAAGTATATGAACACGTCAAGTTTCTTCATGTTTCTTTGAGGTTCATGGTATTGGTCATCAACGGAATGGTTCTGTTCCACCATTTGATTGTTTACAAGTTCAGCGTGGCGAACTTATTGACTCAGCCATTTAGGGTTTGGTTGGGGGGAGGGATCATTCTACTTAGATCATTACTTGACTCAGCCATTTAGGGTTTGGTTGGGGGGGAGGGGTCATTCTACTTACATCATTACTTGACTCAGCCATTTAGGGGGGAGGGGTCATTCTACTTACATCATTACTTGACTCAGCCCTTTTAGGTTTTGGTTGGGGGGGATCATTCTACTTACATCATTACTTGACTCAGCCATTTAGGGTTTGTTTGGGGGGAGGGGTCATTCTACTTACATCACTACTTGACTCAGACATTTAGGGTTTGTTTGGGGGGGAGAGGTCATTCTACTTACATCTCAGCCATTAGGGTTCGTTGACTCAGCTCAGCCATTTAGGGTTCGTTTGGGGGGGAGGGGTCATTCTACTTACATCATTACTTGACTCAGCCATTTAGGGTTTGTTTGGGGGGGAGGGGTCATTCTACTTACATCATTCCTTGACTCAGGCATTTAGGGTTTGTTTGGAGGGGAGGGGTCATTCTACTTACATCATTACGTGACTCAGCCATTTAAGTTTTGGTTGGGAGGGGATCATTCTACTTACATCATTACTTGACTCAGCTATTTAGGGTTTGTTTGGGGGGGAGGGGTCATTCTACTTACATCATTACTTGACTCAGCCATTTAGGGTTTGTTCGGGGGGGAGGGGCCATTCTACTCACATCATTACTTGACTCAGCCATTTAGGGTTTGTTCGGGGGGGGAGGGGTCATTCTACTTACATCATTACTTGACTCAGCCATTACTTGACTCCATCATTACACCATGAGCCGATCTTCTCTTGCACCTGCACACCAACATGATCTCACGCTATCACATCTTCTCCTGACGCTATCATCACCATGAACATGAAGAAGATGAAGATGAATAATACTCGGAGGAAGAAAATGCTTATAACAAGGATGATCATGAAGAAGAAGAAGAAGATGATGATGATGATAATGAGGATGATGATGGTGATGATGATAATGAGGATGATGATGATGATGATGATGATGACGATGGTGATGCTCACTTGGTGGTCAACATGATGGTCAACCATGAGTGGACAACATGATGATGGGGTACCTGCCCTCCGACCCCTCATGATGGGTAACATGATGATGATAATGATTGAATATGTCTATTCTGGACGACGACGGTGATGGTGATGATGGTGATGATGATGATGATCGTGGTGATGATGATGATGATGATGATTGTGATGATGATGGTGATGATGATGGTGATCATGGTGATGGTGATGATGGTGATGATGATGATGATAATGAGGATGATGAGGATGTTGATGATGATGATGATGATGTTGAGGTATCCCGAAGCGATGCATGAGGCGTAGCCCGAAGCGATGCACCCGACGTATCCCTAAGCGATGCCTATGCCAGGCATTGCTTTGATTGAAAAGAAGTACCACAAAATTGAATGCTCGTGTTACACCGAAATATGTATAGATATATATATATGTGGTTATTTCAAACAAACCCAAACATCATATATAATATCCCATGAATTCCCATGATATCTAATAACAATGGGACTAGTTCGCAACCCCCAAAAAGATGCCGAAGTTCGCTTTTGGTCCACTCAAAAACACTTCAGCAAGTGGTCAACCTCAGCTTTCCAGCATCTTTCTGGGGCTTTGCTATTTGGGGAGGTTTCATGAGGTTTCCTAAGTTATGGGGTACCCCCAGTCACCATCCAAATTTTCATCGGAATTTCCATGAGAGAAAGCATCCAGGTTTAGCTTGGGGCTCCCCAAGCTCGACTTGGGAAACCTCCAACTGGGGATGAGTCGTTTGTTAGCTGTACCAGCACTAAGTTAAGCACCGTTAGGGTATCAAATATCAATCTAGTAAACCAGAAGTGAAGCATAGATAGGCCATAGTTTTCATAGGATAATACATTGGGTAGTCTGTTGGATAATATGTTGGATAATCTGTTGAATAATCAGTTGCATAATCTGTTGGCGAATAATTGGATAATAATTGCTATATACCATCACAGCCAATTATTAGCCAATTATTTATACCCCAATTATACCATCATAACGTTCGCGATTCAATTCCCCCTGTTTCATCTTGGTCTCCTTGCCAGGCGCCCAAGTGACTCAGCCCATTATGGCTTAGATCCAACCTGGGAGCTGAGCAGCACTGGGATTCACCATGGGTGTTTTTAAGCGATCAGTTTTTTGTTGGTGATCCGATTATTGTCCTGGATAATGATTATTAATTACTGGTTATAGTAATAATTATTCATAGGATATCATTGGATTATTATCCTGTTATAGTAATATATCCAATGACTATGAATTACTTATCTTATGAAAAAATCCTGATAAAGCAATCAATATCCAATGAAATTGTTACCAATTACAGTATAGCAATTTGCCCAAAAGATGCTGAACAGTGTTTCCAGAATGGTATAGCTGATGTTTCCTCCATATTTCCCGGTTTTCCAACTTTTCTATTATGGATTTGGGGGGTGCTATAGATGATAATTACCAACTGGATGATGAGTAATATAATCATCTGGGTAAATTACAATATTTCACTAGCCTGAATTAAGGCCACCAACTTCTTGCGGTCCCTGCCCAGCCCCCGCTGACGCCAGCCTGAATTAAGGCCATTTGGGGATGACTTCCCTTACTAACCATCATTCCAGTGAGGTCGCAGTGAGGTCGTGATCAAATTTACCCAGATGATGTGTAACAATGATGAAACTGCACTTCATCATGATGATTACCAACTAAATAAGGGGAAACCATTCTGATTGGACTATAACCAACTGGATCGTGATGCTATTGGATTCCTGACGGAAAGTTCTTTGATGTACCTATGAGTTTCTCCTTATCGATACCAAAACTGAATGTCTTGTCTATCCATCTGAGTTTGTGCGAGACTTGTGTGGGAAAATAAACTGATTTAAATGCCCGAGTGCAGCATGGGCCAATAAGCGACGAACATTCAAAGATAATGGAAAACAAGGCAGATTTGACCTAGACCTAAGCATACCTCACCTACGAACTGGGGTCTACCCCGCAAAAGTGGACTCAAGATGACTCAAGCAACAAACAGGCGGATTCAGGTATAGAGCGGAGATAGATGTACAAATGGAAACACCAAAATTGGTGATTTGTGGGTCAGTGCTTTTGACCCATACCTAATGCACAAGATCATCTTGGAGTGATGGATGAAGCCACTACACCAGGCGAGGACAATTCAGCAGTTGAGACATTGGACGCAAAAAGAATCACCGGAAAATACTTCACCAAAGTCCTGTTTTGATGTGGTGGAAATTCCAGATCAGACGCGAATTTCAGGCTTGGAAGAGGTCAGGAAGAGGTTCCCGTCAGCTTTTCCATCGAGCCACTCTTGCAAACCCTGCAGGGAGACCAGCATGGGCACCAGCTGCGTGTCACCTGTGATGTCGCTTACATCAACCTCCAATGGGGTTTTCTTAAAATCACTGACCCCTAAGTCATCCAAGTGAAACTGTTTTTTTTCCATAAGGACACCCATTTTTTCGGGTTAATTTCACGACACATTCGGACATCAATGAGAGTTTTCCACTGGGGGGATGCCTTTTTACATGGATCATGCACGCACGGCCAATGTGCAACTGGTTTTGGAACCATGGGTATAATACCTTGCAACCGGTGTTTAAAAAAAATGTCGAAAAACCCTTTTTAAAAAAATCAAAGGATATGATGATCAGCCGCTTTTGATTCGTAGGGCCCAATCATCCCAGGACCGATCCAACAGGCATTGGATTATTCATTTTGGAAACCCCTTTTGATATAACCTATTCCAAACTCAAAATCATCGTGCTTGGATCGTACCTGGATAGGTTATGATATTTCACTCACCTGACATCTTCGGCATCTTACTGGGATGCCCCAATCCCATCCCAGATTCCAAGCTGCGCCTGCAGGGTATCCTTTAAAACCTATGAACCCCCGTCATTCAGCAAGCTAAAGCACTGGTTTTTCAAGGAAACACCAGTAGTTCAACGCTTCCAGGGGCCAGTCTTAGATACAAATCAAAAATGGCCAATATATAAATGTCCTATAACAAAAAATCACACTATATTAATTGGGCTCACGTTAGCCCATGAAATTGTTGGCTATCCCCCATAAATCAATATAAATCACCAAAAAAAACATCCCAAAATCTGTCCACATAAATTTTCCATAAATCCTCCAGACGACTCCAGACTGACCCCGCTGCAGCTTGGTCACCCCCGGTGCCCCCGAGCCGATTCTTCTTGGCCCGCAGGCACTGCAAGACGTCCACCTCGCGCAGGGACGACATCAATGTTCCGCTGGTTAAGTGGTTGGAGGAGACGTCCAACAGCTTCAAACTCCTGGGGAAGGCGGGATTGAACTCCTGGAAATGGGTGATTTTTCCATATTTGACCATATTTGACCAAATTTACCCGTTTCACCTCCTGAGTTTTCAGATAATTTTACAAGCAGCTGAAGTGGAAATCAACGGTTCAGCTTCGCCGTCCTGGGCAACGGCGGCAGCGCCGTGAGCTGCCGTTCCGCCAAGGTCAGCTGCCCCGTGCCCTGCGCCGAGCGCAGCTCCACGAGGAAGGCGCTGGAAGCAGTGGAGGCGCTTGCGGGGGCCAAGTCTGGCCTTAGGGCGGGGCTCAATGCCTTGTTACTATGGTGATAGCACGCGCTGACACCATCGTTTGCCCAAGAATTCAAAGGCCACAAACATATATCTTAAGACAACGACCAATGCATGTTGATCCGCACAACATGATCATATATGTTGGGATATTGATTTTACCATACGAGGTAAAATAAAGATGCATGGAAAATGACACATATTGTAGCATGATTGGATACATATAATACCATGTCGGGTCTCCGTTCTGTTAATTAATGGGTGTGAAATAGTTTTAGGATTTTTTTTTCACCAGGTTTGGGATTTTTTTTTGGATTTCTTGGCTGGTACCATTTGCCTACATTTTGCATGGGATTTACTACATGTGGGCATGTTCACCTTCCATTTTGTATGGTATTTGCCACATTTTGGCATGTTCACCTTCCATTTTGCATGGGATTTCCTACATGTGGGCATGTTCACCTTCCATTTTGTATGGTATTTGCCACATTTTGGCATGTTAACCTTCCATTTTGCATGGGATGTTCTACATGTGAGCATGTTCACCCAAATATTTACAGATGCGGAAGCTTGGGATTAGATAAAAAGCGGGTGGGGGGGATTGAGGGAGGGCGCTAGCTATCTATCCAGCTAGCTAGCTATCTAGCTATCTAGCCTAGCTAGCTATCTACTGTATCTAGCAAGCTAGCTATCTATCTAGCAAGCTATCTATCTATCTAGCTATCTATCTACCTATCTAGCTAGCTATCTTGCTAGCTATCTATCTACCTATCTAGCTATCTAGCTAACTATCTATCTAGCTATCTAGCTATCTAGCTTTCTATCTATCTAGCTATCTATCTAGCCATCCAGCTGTCTATCCAGCTATCTAGCTATCGAGCTATCTAGCTAACTATCTATCTAGCTATCTAGCTTTCTATCTATCTAGCTATCTATCTATCTATCTGTCTATCTGTCTGTCTATCTATCTATCTAGCTAGCTATCTATCTAGCTAATTATCTACCTATCTATCTATCTAGCCATCCAGCTGTCTATCCAGCTATCTAGCTATCGAGCTATCTAGCTAACTATCTATCTAGCTATCTAGCTTTCTATCTATCTAGCTATCTATCTATCTGTCTATCTGTCTGTCTATCTATCTATCTAGCTAGCTATCTATCTATCTAGCTAATTATCTACCTATCTATCTAGCTATCTATCTATCTATCTAGCTATCTATCTAGCTATCTATCTATCTAGCTAGCTATCTATCTATCTAGCTATCTATCTAGCCATCTATCTATCTAGCTATCTATCTAGCCATCTATCTATCGAGGTATCTAGCTATCTATCTCTCTAGCTATCTATCTATCTAGCTGGTTATCTATCTATCTAGCTATCTATCTATCTAGCTATCTATCTATCTATCTATCTATCTATCACATGTAAACCTGTCAGCTTTCCAGAGAAGGTTAGTTCGCAAAAACCAACTAATGTAACTTGGGTTTAAGTTTAAATAAAAAAAAACGGGAGGGGGGGATTGGGGGGAGGGCGCAGCGCCTCCCCCCAAAGCAGAATGCAAGCACCTCTTCTCACATGTTACGTTGCTAGTTTTCAAGAGAAGGTTGGTCATGTGATACTCAGGGATGTAAATACTGTGCAAAATGCATCTTACATGAAAATCAAGTATTTAAAGCAGGCAAAGCAAAAAAAAGCAGAGAAGCAAAAAAACAGAGAAGCAAAGAAACAGGAAACGCACAAAAGCAAAACAGCAGAAAGGCAAAGAAGCAGGAAAAGCAGAAAAGCAGAGAAGCAGGAAAAGCAGGAAAAGCAGAGAAGCAAAGAAACAGGAAAAACAGAAAAGCAAAAAAGCAGAAAAGCAGAGAAGCAGAGAAGCAGAAAAGCAAAAAAGCAGAAAAGGCGAGAAGCAGGAGAAGCAGAAGCAGGAAAAGCAGGAAAAGCAGGAAAAGCAGGAAAAGCAGGAAAGCAGAGAAGCAGGAAAAGCAGGAAAAGCAGAGAAGCAGGAATCCAAAAATAATTCCTAAACCTGATGAAAAAAAAACCTAAAATAATTAGCCCTCCTTAATTAATCATGCTGATTCAATGTTCATCCATATCTGAAGTTCATGGCAACCTTGACACTCCGCCGTGCCGCAATAACATGCAGTCGCGGCCCAAAGGGAATGAAGGCTTGGCAGCTCTTGTTGGATTGGCTCACGCCAGCAGAGCGGTCCCGTCTCACCCGCGCAGCGGTGGGATTGTGCCGAGAAGTTCGGTGGGTCAGGACGGTAGCCCGGAATACCCACACAAACACTAAGAAATGCTACAACAAACTACCGTGTATGATTTTAAGATTACCATCTTCCCCATGACCCCTGAAAAATACACATCATTACCATTTAGGTTGGGGGGTTGGGCACGACATGAACTATTCTGCAACAAACAGATCATCTTCTCACGAACTATATGATACTGATGCTGATGATGATGATGATGATGATCCTTCCCAGTCCGGGCAAACGATGGCCCTTCCCAGTCCGGGCAAACGATGGCGTTTGACCGCTATAGTACTAACAATACTATCAGTTGGCTAAAAATCGGTATATATGCAGCTAATAGTAGTTAAACATTGCTAATAAGAGGTCATTATGGTTACTCATGTTAAATATGTCTATGCTGCATCCTATGCCTTAACAGCTAATAATGGTGAATAACAGTTCATACTATATACTAAATGCTAGCTAATTGGATAGTTGATAATGTAACCCCCCATAAAGATAAAACCAATTAAATCCATCAATATTAATGTTAGTGGTGTTGTTCTTTTCTATCTTCTTGGGGGTTACTATCATATGTCTTTCATGTGTAGCTCAGAAATTAATAGTGGTCAAAAACAGTTACTGTAATAGACTTCATAGTGATTATAAAAAAATATATATAATCAGATTATATATATATATTATAATATTGAATCAATAACTCAATAACGTTAATAGCTATTCATGCCCGGCCTCAGCCCTATCAAAGCATTAATGTGTGTATAGTTCATATATGATCGTCAATACTAGCTAATTGGATACTTAAAGCAGCATCATAGTGAATAGCAGCAACATTATCTTATGAATGGCTAATCATGAACTATTCTGCTACGCCAAGTTTCTTTGACAAGACATGATTTAAAGCCATTTAAAGATTTCTGACTAATTTTGAATAATTGATTCTCAATGAGTTTAGTAATTTCTCAATCAATTAACCATTAAAAATACCATGGTTCTCAATAACATAGTAAGTCCCCGAAACTTCTCCTATGGATGAACCATGATGAACCTATGGTTACCTGGATGGGATGATCAACAGGCCCCCAACAGCCCTACTAGTACGGTGTAAAATTGGGTACCTAAAGAAGATAAACGAAACAAAAGTATACAAAAGTACAACCAGAAGATGTGATATGAATCACCTATGATGGGTTGGAAAACCGCGTATCAAATGATATGGTTACCAAGTCCTTCATCACCATTCATCCATTTACCATCCTTAGTTACCCCAAATTCACCACGGGGGGTACCACTCGAAATCATCCAGCCATTTGAGCTAGCTGACTTCGGAAACCTCCAAACACTTCAAGCAGGGAAAAGGGTAATAACATCTACTAACCATGGTCCATGGTTAGCAAATGTTATATATAAGTTTAATAACAGAATATAACAGATAGTGTACGAAATGTTACCCTCTGGTAAACGTTTACATAGCGAACTGGAACATCAGCATGTTGAATGGCTAAAGCAACGAACTTTCTATGGCCATCTATACCATAGCAAACTGTTACACTGTTACCAGAGGCTACCATTTTTTCAGATCATTTAGACTCTGTGTTACCCATTCACATCGATTCACCCATTCATCAAACCATCAACTTAAGCACAACTAACACTGGTTGGTGGTTGACCTACCCATCTTGAAAAATGATGGAGTTATAGTCAGTTGGGAAGGATTATATATCCCATATATGAAATGGAAAATAAAAATCTTTGTACCCACCACCAACTCCGAGTCGCTCCAGCCGTGTCCGCAGGAACTTCTTCAAGGCCTCTGCACCGCCACGGAGCAGCTCCGGTCGCAGCGTGCGCAGCGGGTTCCCCAGCAGCGCCACGCGGGTCAGGTGCTGCGCCAGGCCTTTTTTGGGGGCCCTTTAAAGGGGAGAAATGGTGAATTTTGGAGCTGAAAATTTGGAGAAATGGTGAATTTTGAAGTATAAAAAATGCAGGGTTTCCCATTTTCAACAAATGGAGAGGTCTGAGTTCACCATCGAAAATTGGCAAAAATTTGGGAATTTGATGGTTTGTTTCAAATGTTGGTTACCCTCTGGTAAACTAACATAACTATGGAAAATCACCATTTTTCATAGGAATTTGCTGGAATTTGACCAACAAACATGGCAGTAGTTTCTTGCGCCAGAAAAATGGGCAGATTCACCCCCTGGCAGAGGCCTTGTTGCTTAGCCAACAGCTTGGAGGACACCATAAACATATACCATCTGGTTATTTAACATAGCCATGGATAATGGCCCATTTATAGATGGTTTACCTATTCAAAATGGTGATTTTCCATGGCGAACTGTTAAATAACCAGATGTAGACCATACCCCATGGTTTTGAGGATCTAGCTGCTGTTTTCCAGTGGAAACAAGGGGGGGCCTGAGAACCCAAAAGCAAAACGACAGCAAACAAATTTGAGTAATACTGATAATTGGTTTATTTCTTTTTCGCCTCTTGCCAGCTTCTTTTTAGAAGATGAACATTATGGACGCATTCACTGCAAATTTCATTTTTCCCCACCTGCCAGGTGAGGGTTGTTAGATTTTATCAGAGTTGTTCTTCTCGGCTAGCTGTCCTCCTCGTCCTCGTCCTCCTCCTCCTCGTCCTCCGCCTTCTCCTCCTCCTCTGCCTCCTCCTCCAGTTTCTCCTCGATCATGTCTGCATCAACTTCCACCTCAACTTCCGCCTTGCCAACTCTTCGCCAAGCTCTTTGCCAACTTCCCAGCTCAGTGTGCACCGCTGGACCTCAACCTGGGACCAAACCAGCTCAGTGTGCACCGCTGGACCTCAACCTGGGACCAAACCAGCTCAGTGTGCACCGCTGGACCTCAACCTGGGACCTTCCCAGCTCTGCGTGCACTGCTGGACCTCAACGGCCAGATAGAATACCAGAAGATATGCCAGATAGAGTGTTAGAAGATATGTCAGATAGAATGCCAGAAGATATGCCAGAACATATTGCAGAAGATATGCCACGTAGAATGCCAGAAGATATGCCAGAAGATATGCTAGATAAAATGCCAGAAGATATGTCAGATAGAATGCCAGAAGATTTGCCAGTAACAAAACGTATAAATGTCATGGTGGGGATAACTCGAAGTAAAATAATTTCAGCTCTGCGCGGAAACATTGAGTGACAGTGCGCAATAGCCAAGCAAGCTCATTTGAGCACGGTCATGCGACGGCGGCTGATTTCCAAATCAACCTCTCCTTTCCTTTCCTTTCCCTTCCTTTCCTTCCTTTCCCGTCCTTTCCCTTCCTTTCCCTTCCTTTTCCGTCCTTTCCCTTCCTTTCCCTTTCTTTCCCTTTCTTTCCCTTCCTTTCCCTTTCTTTCCGTTCCTTTCCCGTCCTTTCCATTCCTTTCCCTTCCTTTCCCTTCCTGTCCCTTCCGTTCCCTTCCTTTCCCTTTCTTTCCCGAAGCAAGGGTTCCCGTTGCCCAACCGTCCGCAACCACTTGCGTCAAGTGGCGACAAGGTGCAGATTCCGTGGCAGACGTGGCATTTTGTGAGATGTGCTGAAAATTGACGGAAGCCTCCCACGAAACATCGATTTTGAGGTAGCAAATTTAAAGGCTCGTACGAAAACTCGCAGGAAAACGTCAATTTTGAAGCTATATACAAAGTGTGAAAATTGGAGGAAGTCTCGCACGAAAGGCTCGTTTTGATGCTCCCACATCTCTCGTCTCAAGTCTCTGGTTTTCCTGTAGCGTCGCCGTGTCTATGGGGGAAGCTGCAAAATCTCTCCTTTTCGAAGGTTTCCAAGCAGGTTGTCATGTCGTTTTGCGTGGCAAGGGTGGCACTTTACACTCTACACTCCACCACGCTCTACACTTTGCACACTCCTCATTCTACACTCCACCACACTCTACACTTTGCACACTCCTCACTCAACACTTTAAATTAAAACTCTACAAGCCACACTCCACACTCGACACTTTCCACTCCACACTCTACACTCCACACTTTACACTCCACACTCCTCACTCCACAATTTACACTTTACACTCCTCACTCCACACTCTACACTTTACACTTTGCGCTTTCCACTCCCCCTTCACACTCTACACTTGACACTCTACACTCCACAATTTACACTTTGGACTCCACACTTTAAACTTTGCACTCCACACTTTACACTCCTACACACTCCTACACACTCCACACTCTACACCCCACACTCCACCACACTCCACACTCTACACCCCACACTCCACCACACTCCACACTTTACACTCCACACTTTACACTCCACACTCCACAAACTACACTTTCCACTCCACACTCCACACTCCACACTTTACACTCCACACTCCTCACTCCACAATTTACACTTTACACTCCTCACTCTACACTTTACACTTTGCACTTTGCACTCCTCACTCCACACTTTACACTCCACACTTTACTCTCCACACTCCGCACTCTACACTTTACGCTGTACACTTTAAACTCTACACTCCACACTTTACATTTTTGACTCCTCACTCCACACTTTACATTTTACACTCCTCACTCCACACTTTACACTCCACACTCCACACTCTAGACTTTCCACTCCACACTTCACACTCTGCACTTTCCACTCCACACTCCACACTCTACACTTTACACTCCATACTCTACACTTTACATTTTTCACTCCACACTTTAAATTTTACACTCCTCACTCCACGCTTTACACTCCACACTCCACACTCCACACTTCCCACTTTACACTCCACACTCTACACTTTACACTCCACACTTTACACTCCACACTCCACACTCTACAGTTTCCACTCCACACTCTAGACTCTACACTTTACACCCCTCACTCCTCACTCCACACTTTATAATACTTTACACTCAACACTTTACAGTTTGCACTTTACACTCCTCACTTCACACTTTACACTCCACACTTTACACTCCACACTCCACACTCTACACTTTACACTCTACACTTTACACGCTACACTCCACACTCCACACTTTACACTCCACGCTTTCCTCTCCACGCTTTACACTCCACACTTTACACTCCACACTTTACACTCCACACTTTTACGCTCCACACTCCACAGTCTACACTTCACACTCCACACTCTACACTCCACACTCCACATTTTACCCACTGCACACTCCACCCTTTACACTCCTCACTCCTCACTCCACACTTTACACACCACACTTCCCACTTTACACTCCACACTCTACACTTTACACTCCACACTTTACACTCCACACTCTACACTTTACACTCTACACTCCACACTCTACACTGTCCACTCCACACTGCAGACTGGTCACAGGGGAAATATGTATATACAAGACTGTTCAAACAAACTATTGCAGAAAATTGTTCTGAGTGACTGCATATACATTACTCTCTGGTAATTTAACATAGCTATTGAAAATACCCCATTTATAATTGATTTACCTATTCAAAATGGTGATTTTCTATAGCTATGTTAGTTTACCAGAGGGTAACATACGTGTGTGTGAGCATTCGGGTTCGTGGGCTGCATCTTGTTCTTCTCCCCACCCATTTCCAGCCACTCCGTTGCACCCACGCCGTCCGCAGCCGTCCGGCAGTCCGCCATCCACGCCATTCTCCCCACCCATTTGCCGTCCGCAGCTGTCCGCGCAGCCAAGCTCGCTCATCACCAGCGGCTTCTTCTCCCCATCCATTTCCAGCCACTCCCTTGGACCCACGCCGTCCGCAACCGTCTGCGCAATTCTCCGCACCCATTTCCCGTCCGCAGCCGTCCGCGCAGCCAAGCTCGCTCATCACCAGCGGCTTCTTCTCCACACCCATTTCCGGCCACTCCGTTGCACCCACGCCGTCCGCAGCCTTCCGCACAGTTCTCCGCACCCATTTGCCGTCCGCAGCCATCCGCGCAGCCGAGCTCGTTCATCACCAGCGGCTTCCATTTCCAGCCACCCCCTTGCACCCACGCCGTCCGCAGCCGTCCGCGCAATTCTCCGCACCCATTTCCCGTCCGCAGCCGTCCGCGCAGCCAAGCTCGCTGATCTCCATCGGCTTCTTCTCCCCACCCATTTCCAGCCACTGCCTGGCACCCACGCCGTCCGCAGCCGTCCGCGCAATTCTCCGCACCCATTTGCCGTCCGCAGCCGTCCGCGCAGCCAAGCTCGCTCATCACCAGCGGCTTCTTCTCCCCAACCATTTGCAGCCACTCCCTT